GAAATGTTCCACTAAATAACGTTGAAATACCTGTTCTAGCTGCGACGCCACAGACAATTTGTTTCAAAGGATGATCTAATATTTTCTTAAACTTATTTGCTAAAATCAGGGAACATTCACCATAATGTGGGATTGAAATGAACACCCTTTTAATACTTGGATTAATTAGCTGTTTAACAATGTTTTTACCTAATTCAATACCCCTCATCGTCTTTTTTATAACATCAATTGGATAACCATTAGCTGTAAATATTCTTTTGTAATACTCTAATTGTTGTTTCAGTAGTGCATCCGATGAACAAATATGTTTCGCACGTGTACATAGACACTTTATTAAATTTATTTTATAACTGCGAGGTTGGTTCCTAGTCCATCGTAGGTATAAGCCGGTGTCAGTCGGTTTACGATAGACATAGGTTATTAATTATCATCATCATCCTTTGAAACAAATAGTCTGTGGTTTCGCAGCTAGAACAGGTATTTCAACGTTATTTAGTGGAACATCTCGTAGACAAAAGGATATGAAAAAGGTAATCTATCGGTATGATTGTAAAAATTGTAATGGCACCTATATCGAACAAACTGCCCGCGGTATAGAAATAAGAAAAGAAGAACACTGTTTTATATCTACTATAGATAGTTTAAACTAGTTTTGCTTATTGCACATTTTGACTGATGATGTGAAAAGTGTTTCATGAAACGTCTCCAATATATAATGCTTAATTCGGTATCTATAACTCTACTATTCTTTATAAAATGTATTCACCGTATTATCAAAAAACGAAAGGATACAATTATTATTCATAATTTTGTATATATAATACAATTATTATTATCGACCGAATTATTTTTCTAGAAAAGAAACTTTCCATACCTTCTATGTTTTATTGACTATTTACTGAGGATGCATACATACAGATTATAAATGAGCACAAAATTCTAGATCGAATACACTATTTCAAGTACTTTTGAATGCTCTTACCATCAAAGAAAATGATCAAATATTTTGTCTCACTATCTTGAGTCGATCTACAGTCTACTTACCAAGTCTGATTTGTATTTATTCTCTTTTACTTTCATAAATCAACTTACCTTTAAAGCACATAAAAGAAGAGATATGTACATGGTGTGGGAGAAGAAGCATGAATCAGACACACATCACTGTGTAGTATGTTAAATGATGCGATATTTCTAAAAGCAGCGTCACACCTAGACATGCACCGCTTACGGTTATATTTGATGCAACTGACTCAATTATAACTGTAACAGGTGCATGCATACGTAGGTGCACTATGTTGATTTTTTTCTGCATTACGTCAAGATTACAATCAAAATTTCTGTGTAATAATAATTATATTTAGATCAATTTTCGTGACAGAAGTTTGATCCATGAAAGGGCGGGGAACGGTTTCTGCTAGAAAATGGTCCACATCATGTAGATACCCCCACAAAGGAAAGTTTTTTTTCCTAGAGTATGCGGCAAAAAAAGCAGTAAGTCCAGCGTAAACCAAATATGATCGGGATTTTTCAAAATTTTCTTTTTCAGTGAAATCTTAGCTCAGTTACAATCATTTGCTGAAAGGTTTTCAGACAAAACATTATTAGTTGTCACAGATTAAGTGTGGTCACAGATTATAATTTTCATAACAGTCAAATGGTGAAACTTATTCCTAATCCTATAAACAATCCACAACTATCGCTAACGCAACTACATCCAAGGACAGAAGTTTTTCTTCTCATCAAATGTATATAAACAATTAACTCAGTTACTAAAAGGTAAACGGTAGAAAGAAACTTCAACAATAGGCAAGATAGCAAATACATCGATTATTAATTCATTCTCTTCGTTTTTCTCCAGTTCTGTGCCAAAGCGAACAATAAGCAAGTGAAACAATATGCTTTCATGGGTCAAACTTCTGTCACGAAAACTGTTCTAAATGTAATTATTATTATACAGAAATTTTGAAGGAAACGGACAGTTGCTGGCATGGACTGATGCTCATCGGACACTTGCTCACCGAATACTTTAAATAAATATTCATGTCATGCACGTCTTCATGCAGATTTAAATAATGTTCCCATTAAAATAGTGGATGAACATAAAAATCATAGTAGCAATCCATGTTCAGAATCAGTAAGAAAATTTTGTGAGAATTTAGAACAACTCCCACAAAGGAAAAGTTTTTTCTTTGAGTACGCGGCAAAAAAAGCATTGAGTCCGGCCTAAATCGAATGTAAACGGGATTTTCTTTTATACACAATTTCACGGGCTACAAGACAGGCCACCTTAGAAGTTTCAGAATCTAGTTTTCTCTGGATACGTTAGAATGTTATCAACGTTTTATTTCGGTGATGTTCTACGTATATAATCTCAACATGAGTTGAGTGAAAAGTTACAGAAAGGCAGTCTCGAAGACTGCGCGCGTAGTAAGAACCAGTCCAAGTTTCCAAGGCTTGGGCTTTTCTGTAACGAATAGGCGATTGTAAAACATATCTATTAGTATCTAGTTTTGGGTGCTGAGTTGGCCTGTTTTCTTTCCCCCGAAAGAACTGATCAGGTGTCTTGCTACGACTGAGTCTGTAGTAGTAAAACGAGAGACAGTAATTCAACGGAAAAAACAGGCTCATTCAAAATCTCTGACAGCTGAACATGATATTTCTGAATATGATGCAGGAGCTTATTAGTGATATCAGTTTTATATACTTGTTATTTTTTGTGCGTTAATAGTAGTGAATTCACTCACTTGCTATGTTTTTTAGAAATCAAGACTATGTTGAGATTTCCAATGGGATAAAAATAGGCTGAAAGGTAGCCTATCATGTTGCCCGTGAAATTCTGTAGCAGATGCGGTCGGTACTGCTTGAATTTTTTCGTTGAGTCGTTATTTTATTAGCATCGGTGGATCACATCACCGCGAATGTGTTAATCTTTTTATTTTATTTCGTACTTTTGGGTTTTTTTGTCTCACCATATACCAAAAGGTATCTAGGTATACTTACTTACTTATTTCGTCTAAACTGCAGTTATCACCCATTTTCTGGTAGTATTTGTATGTGTTTTTGAAAATGACTGCATGAACAGTAGGAACGTCGATTTTATATTTTAAGAAATAAATTACGACTGCTGGTATAATCAAACATTTAGTTTTATCTAATTTACTGGCTCTACATCGTTACAATGTATCTTTCTATTCTATAGCTTAACAAAATCCGTCTAACGGCTTGAATATTCAAAAAAAACAACAGAAAAACGACATTTGCGTTGTCTATAATCGTGACATATTAGCTTCGTCAATTCTGTGTCTATTTTCAATTATTTGTTTATTATCTTCTCCAAGATGTATTTTCATCAATCGACCATAACCCATATAGATCCATGCTCCTATCAAACCACCGACTATGGGACCGACAATAGGGATCCAGAAATAATAATTACCAACAGTAAATACCTCAGAACCATAACCCACAGCAAATGCAAATAAACGAGGACCTAAATCACGTGCAGGATTGATTGGAAAACTAAAAGAATAAATCAGAGCGTTTCAGTCAATTTTGACATGTTAGATCAGGATATTGGAAGGTTTCATATCCAAGTTTTGCCAATTAGTTGTTTAAAAGCTGAAATTTGAACTTATTCCTCGCATTATGGATAAGTTCTACACTTTATACACATAAAAGATTTACAAAAAGTTTCACGCGCATCTTTCAAAACGTATTACATTCAAAAACCAAAAATATATTTTAACTATTTTTGTGCTCTTACCCGCAATTGAAACCTAAAAATGAGAAAAGTAAAAAAAGAGACATAACATTTTCTCTGTTTATGTATTTAGATTTATCCTAGAACATACCAAAGGCAGCACCGATGGCCGTAATCATAAATGCTACCGCTAATGGTATAACTGAGTTTGAAACTAATTTATTTTGTTTGTTACTTAAAGAACACAAACCAAGTAATAATAAAGCAGTTGATAATACTTGATCAAAAAATAATGTTTGTTGACGAACATTCCGAGCTGGCATTGTACCAAATATTCCAGCTGTTGCGTTGGGACCGGTGACCTAAATAAATAAATGTAACAGATAGTGAATAGGTCGTGACACGACATTACCGCGAGACAATACCGCGAGCGACATTACCGCGAACGACATTACCGCGAATACAAAAAACGACATTACAGTGAACGACGTTACCGCGAAGACTCGTTTATTGGAAAAGAAGAATAAATGAGCCTGGTTTTGTACTTTGTATATCATG